CACAGAGGCGCCCGCAGGCTTCCTGGTCTGGCAGCAGCGGGCTGTGAAGCGCCTCCAGGACTCAAGTGTCTTGCCAGACCAGATCCAGACACCAGAGGTGATGCCCACCACAAGGCACATGAAGTACTTCAGCATGAAGACAGCATAGTCGGGCTTGGGGCGGTGGGGGTCCCCCGGGCAGGAGCAGTTCTGCGCCCGCTCCCACGCCTCCCGGTTGTGCTGCTCGTAGATGTAGCAGGCGATGACGATGGTGGCAGGCACGGTGTAGAGCACAGTGAAGATGCCAATACGGATCATCAGCTTCTCCAGCTTGTCAGTCTTGGTGCCGCCCTGCTTGATCACGCTGCGGATACGAAAGAGAGAGACGAAGCCGGCCAGCAGGAAGAGGCTGCCGGTGAAGAGATAAACCACCAGCGGTGCCAGCACAAAGCCCCGCAGGTTCTCCAGGCTCTGGTTGCCCACATAGCAAACCCCGGCCACTGGGTCACCGTCCACGGAGCTGAGTGCCAGTACAGCGATGGATTTGGCACTGGGGATAAGCCAGGCAGCCAGGTGGAAATACTGTGCGTAGCTAGCAATGGCCTCGTTACCCCACTTCATGCCAGCTGCCAGGAACCAGGTGAGGGACAGGATGACCCACCAGATGGAGCTGGCCATGCCAAAGAAGTAGAGGAGAAGGAAAACCACAGTGCAAAGGGCAGGACCTGTGGTCTCATAGTGGATGTGGTGGTGCTCTGGGTTGCAAGCCACGTTGGCATGCCCTGCCACCAGCCGCACAATGTAGCCCACGGAGACAAACAGGTAGCAAGCAGAGAGGAAGATGATGGGGCGCTCGGGGTACTTGAAGCGCTCCATGTCAATGAGGAAAGTGGCCACAGTAGTGGAGGTGGAGAGGAAGCAGAGAATGGACCAGAGGCCGATCCAGAAGGTAGCGAAGGTCTTCTCATCTTGGGTAAAGTAGGGCTGGTAGCACGGGATAGCACAGTTGGGTACCTGCCCAGTCCTGATGCGGTTGTACAGCGGATGGGACTCCTTAGAGATGGGGATCAGGGGCGCTTTGCACTTGCAAGCCCGGCCGCAGTCCAGCCCCGAGGGGCGCTGCCCGCCCAGCGGCGTCAGGTTTTTGGCCGTGTCCTTGGCCGGGCGCGTGGGCTTCCCGAAGAAAGGCGGCAGGGTGGTGGCTTCCGTCCGGTTGTATCCCATGCAGAGCACCTCGGTGTCCCCCAGCACCGGCAGGCTGTCGCAGCTCATCCTCTCGGGCCAGGCAAAGCCGTACTGCTGCATGATGGGCGAGCAGCCGGCCTTGGCCCGCTCGCAGACGGA